TCACACACACACACACATACTCGCTCGCTCAACATCAGAGATTCTTGTGTTGTGCTTGCAGTCAGAGCCCCGCAGGGAGTGAGAGTCCAGAGCGAGACGACTGACGCTCCTGCTGTTCTTTTCCAAGCACCTCAGTTTGTTACCAGACGTTTACTGCAGAACATTTAAAGTAATTATTCAAAATGCGAGTTTGATTGTAAGGAAGCTCTAATGAGGAGCGGAATATTTTGAGTTGATTTCTCTGTAGCTGAAGAGAGAGTTGGTGTGATTTTGTACCTTTTTTGTTGTTGCACACACACACACACACACATTGGTTGGGGTTTTGTATGTGTGTATTAAATGAAGTGAAAAGGCTTTGCTGTCTGTGAGATTTCTTCATGCGCTGAAGACGCTGTTCCAGCAGGTGGCGCGGTCGTTCAGCACACTGGTTTCCCAGAATAGACCGCTTGCAACCCATTGAGAGATCTCTGCACCAATGCAACCAAAACCTGAACACAGACACATGGCATCAAAACAGTAGAGTTTGTGTGTCTTCCTGTCGTCTGCTCTGTTTCTCAAGTGTCCTCGCGTGCGTGCGCTTCAGCAGATGCTCTGGCTGGGAATAAAAACTGATTTGGAAGTAAATTAATTCATCACGTTTCATTCTGACCGTATCTAAAGCTCACTTGTGTTTGTTCTAAATCAGAGATTGAGCTCAAATATGTACTGGAAATCCATATGAGATTTTAAGTTATTATTAAACACCTCTGATGTTGGTTAATGGTTACATGTCGTGCATCTAATTTAATATTTTTAAATGATTTATTTAATAGTTTAAAATCATTTACTTGGAGAACTTGTAAAAACTCACTGCTTTTCAGAATTGAATTGAGTTTTGTTTTTCAATATTGATTCTTTTCAACATGGGTGTTAAAACCTCAACTTTGGTTTATAAGCGTTTTGTTCATTTTAATTTGAAAATAACGACTTTTCAACATTGAAATAAAAATCATTTCGGTCACGTTTCAACTGAGCATTTTATGCGTTTTACAACTTTTTTAACTTTAAATGCATTTTTCAATGTTTTGTCAATGTTGAAACTTTTTTGCAAGCAGTTGGCTTTAAACTGATGTTGGTTAAATGACACGTGACATCTAAAAGGCGCTTTATTTGTACTATTTTGAAATGATTTAATTTTCATTTTGTGATTGCATGAATCATAAGGTCTTCGTCAACGTGCACACTCTTAAATATAAAAGGTTGTTTTTCTCAGCGATTCCATAGAAGAGCCACTTTTGGTTCCCCAAAGACCCTTTCAGTGCTCAGTTCTTAAAACAAACATTTTTTTCTTTAATCTAAAGTACACTTTTCTGCTTTTGTGCAATGGAAAGATTCCGTGAATGTTAAAAAGGGTTTTAATGCCAATAAAGCAGCTTTATTTTCAAGAGTGAGCCCCAGTTTGGGAAGCTCTTGTAGGTCATTAAATGTCATGTTATGATTCTGTGGAAGCTGATCTGAAACCAGTCACATGACCATCATATTCCGTCTGATTTGACTGTTTGTCCTCGTTTTAAGGTAAACATCCCTCACACCTTACATGAGAATTATTTGAATTTACAAACAATGTCAATATCATTGAACATTCAGGAGTCCGTGTGTTAGCGGGGTTTTACTGCAGTAAAGTGTTGCTGTCATGAATTAAGATCTGAACTGTTTTTTTAATTTCCAGAATGATTCTGGGCAGCTTTTCTAGAAGCATCGCTGTGAGTTCAGTCAGAGTCGCTGAAGAGCCGTGTGTGTATGTGTCTGTGTCTGTGTCTGTGTGTTGTGTGTGTGTGAGAGAGTCTGTGTGTGTGTGTGTGTGTGTGTGTGTGTCTGTGTGTGTGTCTGTGTC